AAAAAAAAAAAATAAATAAAAATAAATAAAAATAAATAAATGTAAAATCCTTAAAAAGCTAAACACTTTCATTGTTACCTTACAATGTAATTTGCACCCTTTTCGGGCAATACTTGTACAGTTTGCAAATCCAATGCCCCGGTTTAAATCCAATATAACACATCAAATGATTGTGGTTTTCACAGTTCCTTGATGAATAGATGGACTGAAGAAGAAATAATGCTAGCCACAGGATCAAGACTCGGTGGTAATCGAAGTCTAACGCATCATCTAAAACTCAGCAGTGCCTATTCTGAAGTCCCTGTAAGAACTTTCCCTGTCCTTTCACATAGATTCGTTGCATATAATGCATTGCAGCATCTAAATTCAATTTCTTAATTGGGTTCTTTAGTTTGTTCGGTGAACTATAGACATTGTTGTGATCTGTCTGTAGGGAAGCTCGGAGGTTAGGGATAGAACTGGAGAACCGCTAGCAACATCTTATCATTCCTTTTTCTGTGGAACAGTTGACTACATATGGTATTTATATTTCTGATTCTGATATTTAGCCGTGAGGTTTTGTGTTGGGCTGTATTTTGGTAAGCATATAAGCTAGCTTATAAGCTTCCTGTATTCACATAAGCTTTGTTTGGTAAGACGGACTTTTTTAAAAAGCTCGAGTTTATCTCATAAGCTTCCTTCCTTGGGTAGCTTTTTAAATAAGCCCATTGAAAATTTTATTTCAGCTAATTTTACCGAACACTTTTATCATATAAGCTATAAGTCATAAGCTCTCACCTATAAGCTCGAAATTCACTTAAAAGCTATAAGTTGGCTTATCAACTAGGTTTACCAAACATAGCCTTAGTGTAATCACTGGACGATTTTCATGTTTAAATCGTTTTCGGCAAAATACAACTTGCTCTGAACAGGCATACTCCAGACCTTTTTCCGGTGAGAGTTCTTGAAACTTTGCCGATGACCAGTTTAAAGCAAACAGGTGGTCTTCCAAGCAAGGTATGCCCCTTTTAGTATTTTTTTT